GGGGGGGCTGTCGGGGCGAGCAGCCGGGTTCGAGCAGCCTGAAATCGATCCCAGACGTTACGGCTTCAGAGCATCTCTCATATATGGCTAAAGAATAATTGCCAATGCTTCGATGTAACGCTGTTCCAACCAACAGGTCCCGCCTCCCCCGGCTCACCTTTTGAGCGTGGGAGCGGCATCCCTGTTGCCATTCCTCGGCTTCATATCCAGTTCGGGGCTCTGGCTTCAAGCAGGAAAGGGCTTGAGACGTCGATAAAGACGACCATGTCCTTCTCTAACCATGGTGCCTTGTCTTTACGCCGGATCGGATCAGAAGATTTGGCGTCATGGATGTGACACATGGACAATCTTTCGCGCACGAAGGCCGGGACTTATGCTCTTTCCCAGTGATATATCGGTCAAAAACCTCCGATGAGTCTGCGAAAGACTGGGTGAATTGACACGGCGACCCGAGTGTTAACATATCTACACCACCACGTTATATTTCCGGGATCGACATATCGTCCGTGTGGAAGGGCACATACTGTCGGCAACCGGTGGCTAGTTCGGAAAGAGGACTCCATGTCGTAACCCACCGTTACATCGCTTATCGATCGATTTCCCCCAGCTTCGCAATCCAAAGTTGCATTCAAAGAGCTTGAGCAACGATGAACCTCCATGATCAACTCGAATAAGCCTTCGGTGACTATGTAGAGTATGCGTTTCGCATAGCACCATTGATGCGCTGACCATGAGACACCGGAGGGTGACTGGCAAAGTGATGAGGAGAGCTGGCGACGACAATGAGTCTGCGGAATAAGCAATTGAGGCAGAGGCAGAAGCCATTAGGGCTTTTAGGGCTCTACCGTTACGGCCCCGAAGTTCCAGCTCAGTGTTACGAGTTGGCATGATTTAATGTGAAAGGTCAAGCAAGGCGGGAGAACTGGGAGTATCATAGAAGTACGTGCTGACACGGCTCCAAGCGTCCGGGGCCGGGCCAAGAAGGAGGGAGAATGGCCATAACAGTCGGCCGCTCTCGGACGCGGATGCAAGGACGGGAGCCCGGAAGACGGAAGGCCCCACTCAACCCCTCTCCACCCCACGGCTGTCAGCTGCTCCGAACGCTGGGCCGTCGGGCAACAAACACATCATCTCGTTATCCACGAAGCCTCGCACTGACACCAACATTTCCTTACACAAACTTCGTGAGTAGTTATCCGCTGAACTAGGCGGTCGCCGTCTCAACACCCTGATACCACTTATTCTCCGAGGTATGCCAAGTCCTCAAGGTATTACTACCCGTCCTCATCATTTCGTGCCACGGCCTCCTTTGCCTCGTCTGGTTCTCATCCGCCATTTGTCAAGCCGATCTCTCAAACATATTGCAGCACTTCGTTGACGTCTAAGCCAGGCCAGACTGCCGCCATCATGTCAACCTCTCTAAACTTCACTGAGCATCATTATGCTGCCGACAACGAGCTTCAGAAGCTAGGTGTCTGGGAATTCCCCTCAAAAGCTGATAACGCGTCTGGATACTGGGTAATGTGAGTTGTCCAATGTCCTGAGAGGGTTTGACGCATCTCGCACTTCCAGTCAAGTATTGACGCATGTTGCGCTAGCTATATCCACGGCGGTGCCTGGCGTGATCCTCGGAAGACTCTTCAGGATTTCGGCACCTCCATTCGGGAAATCCTGAAGTCCAGCTCTATCCCCAAGTCCGAGGTTCGTGGCTTCATCAGCATTGACTATCGTCTCTCCCCGCATCCCCTCTACCCGCAAGACCCCGACGTCACTGCTCCTACAGAACTTCGTTCTGCTCAACATCCGGATCACCTGCGCGACACCTGGTCTGCTCTTGCATTTCTCCAGCGTGAATATCACATCGAGGACCGTTACATTCTCATCGGACACTCGGCCGGCGCTACCTTGGCACTCCAGCTACCTATGGGATCCGTTGCGCTCGGCGCAGTCCCGCCACCAAAGGTCAAGATGCCATCTGCATTCATCGGCGTCTCCGGCATATACGAACTTTCCAATTTCAATGCCCGCCATGAACATACTTACACTCAGTTCATTGCCGGTGCCTTTGGAGACGATCAGGAGTCTTGGAACAAGGTCGTCCCGGCTACCTTCTCTGGGAGCTTCAAGGATGCTTTGCCTACGAAACCGCTTATTCTTCTGGCCTGGTCAACGGAAGACTCACTGGTTGACGAGCCTGAGATCGACACAATGGCTGCTAAGCTGAGCAAGGACGGAGTGGAGTGCACAGTCGTCAAAGACCTGACCCACGACCATGACTTTGTTTGGGAAGATGGCAAGCAGATTGCCCGCCTGTTGTCGGAAGCTCTCCTTTTGTTGAGGAAAAACTAGATTTGAGGGTCGGGCGGAAACCAGTTCACTTTCTACGATCACGTTTTGCGCTTCGATTGTCAGATGGATTCTCAGGCCAGTCTACGACCCTCGCAATATACCATTTAACTTCTTTACTAGCCACATCACATTTTGATGCCTTCGTCTCGAAGTGACACCCGACACCCGCCTCTCCACTACAGTTTTGCTCTCCAAGCCTTGCCCGCTTTAGCCATCCTCGCCGCTGCCACCGTCAGAGCACCTGCAATCATCATCACACCGCCCCAGACTTGAGCCCCGAAATACTGTCCTCCAGACTTGTCGATGATGGCGCCTGCTATCGGCGGTCCAGCCAGAGTCGCAAAGCCCGAGATCGTAGCAACCATGCCGAACCGTGTTCCCATCTTCTGCGGATCGGTAGTCAGGCTGGCGGTTGAGCCTACAAACACTCCCTGCGTCGCCCCATTGGACAGGCCGTAGAAGACGCTAAAGATGTACATCCCCATTCTCGTCTTCACGCCGATCCAAGCAAATTCCATGCAGCCCAGAAGGAACATGGTCATCACGAACATGTTGATTGGGCCGACGTGGCGGTCAGCCAACCAGCCTACGACTGGCCGAATCGGGATGCCCATTCCGTTGGTAATGAGAAGCAGCGTTACCGACTCTGTCGTAGAGAACCCTATAACTTTGCGGGCGTAGGTATTAATCTGTTACGACCATTAGCACATTGCAATCATAAGAATACAGCGTCCTGTCGACTCACATAGAAGAAACCAAAGTACAGGGCCATGAAATAGAAGAAGACTCCCAGGGTGAACAAGATGTATGGTAACTCCCGGAAGGCCGACCACTCTAGCAAGGGACCAGCCTTCCTGGGTGGTAGTCTGGGTCTCAGCAGAGCAATAGCTATCGTTGCTACACCAAGCGCGACGAAAGCCGAGCACCGCACAGCCCAGGGGAAGCCGACTTGCGGGATTAGATACTGCAGAGTCGAGGGGAAGATGAGACTGCCGACTCCGGTGCCCGTAGCCGAAACAGCGAGCGCCAGAGACCGTCTCCGTTTGAAGTACGACCCGATGATGGCGACGCCTGGCATAAAGACGACGCCGAGACCCAAGCCAGTACAAATACCCTGCGCGAGCATGATCTGCCAGTACTCTGTACACAGACTCGTCATGAAGGATCCGAGCACGACAAAGGCGCAACCAACGGAGACAGCGTGTCGAGCGTACCCGGCGTCCGTTAACCGTCCGGAGACGGTGCAGACCGCGAATGTCAAAAAGATCTGCACCGAGCCGATCCAAGAGACCTGTGACGCCGGGAGGTGCAGCTTCTCGGTGTAGTAAAGCTGGTAGACGCCAAACGTTGCTGGGTAGCCCCAGGCGAGGGCGTTGAGCATGTTGCCGGCCAGGACCTGGGACCACGCCGTCCATCCGCCTTCCGGGTAGACGAGGTCGTGCTTGGCGGACCACTCGCGGACATACTCTTCGGCGGCGGCAGGGCCCACAGTCGTTTGGATCTCCTTCTCCTTCTCCGCGGCGCCGGTGGTGATTTCGCCGCTGAGGGAGTGGCTTCTTGTCGACTCTGAAGTGTCAGACATGATGCTATCTTTGAAACGAAATGTGTGATGCTGAATATGGACATCGAAACTAAAGATTTAGGAGACGACCATGGGATTAAATACATCAATGCAGATCCATCTGTCCAAGGGGCAAGAAAAAGCTTTTTTCTTTCCAGCTGGTTATATTAAATATTAGGGATATCAAGCGAGGAGGTCAAAAAAGCAAAGTCGCTCGTCGTCAAAGTGTCATAGCCCCAGGGGACGCTACTTATATTAGTAAAAAAAATATCAACCGGTCCGTCTTCCTGCATGGCACGCCCTACTAAGCACCTGCGAGGTTGATTCATTCGAGTCTCGCGTCCAATTACCCCATAATCAATGTATGACCAAGCGTCCGAGATCGCCCACAATCACCAACCCGATAACCAAGAAGTCAGAATCTCTACGGGAGAACGAACGGTGGTGGGCAGCAGGGACAGACACGGCCGGGAGCTTATTCCCAGTGCTGTGCGACCGCCGGCGCGGGAACGACGTCCTTTCCACATGAGCGGGCTTGCCCAACACGACGGCTGGGCGCATCCTTCGCACGCCTTTCACGCCCTACCGTGTTCGGACAGCAGTTCGGCGAGACGGAGTGTTAGCCGAGGAGGGAGCGTCCCCCTCCGACCGGTCCTCGAATTCAGTGCGGGTATATGTTCGGCCAGTGAGTCCCCGGGGAAGGCTTCCGAAGCGGAGACTGGGAACTTGAAGAACAAAAGTTTACTCCATTTGACCTACCGGTTGGCTTGCTTGTGCAGCTACGGCAGTATTCCTTGTGACCCGCGCGCAGACGAATGTTTTCTTCTCTCTCTCTCTCTTTCTTTCTCCCCCCTTCTCTCGTACCCGCTATTTTACCCTGTTCAGAGAGGTCCTCGCCTGGGACTCGTGGGTTGCGTGACTCGAACACACCAATGGTTGCAGTCAGATTGTGCCGGCGGGATCGTGACTAGCGACGGCGGAGTGGCACCGCCGACACCGAGGACCGTAATCGACCTGCCTCGACCAGAACTGATCTACAGTAGCATCCTTCGTCAATAGCTCTGCGGTCAGGAAGAGACAGAGAGGCACGAAAGCGGAAAAGACAAATGAAAGGCGGTTTAGTCCAGACTTTGAAGATGAGATGTGATGCGTCGGCCCTTTTTGCGACCAGGAAGTGAAGGATCAATGTCTTTGCTTGGTCCCAAGTAGGTAGTATGAGTGTGCGAATATCAGCTAGGAGTCATGCCGAAGGTACCGTATGCTAAGGTACGCAGGGACTTTCCGGTTCCTCGATTAATTTTTTTTCCGGCTGAGAACGTACCTGTACCTTATCGCCCATCTTCCATAAACCACACCGTCGAGAACTTCGTCCGACAAATGCGCAGAGGCAGGCGCACGGGTTGCCTTTGGTTCCAACTTCCCAGGTCTGCCCCCGCTCAGGAAAACGCCAACGAAAAAAAAAGAGTGGCCCCCCACTGGCGCGCCGAATCGCGGATGTGGGGCACAAACTCCCCGTCCGTTTAAACGTGCATCCATCCACCGTCTTGCCCAGTCGCATCGGGTCGCATCGAGTCGCATGGCGGCGCAAGGTATTCCCCGTCGCATCGTCGCTTCGTCGCTAACAAATTGTAATTATCAAGTGTCAAGATGCGATTTGCAAAGGCCCGATGGGAGAAGCAATAACTCTGCAGCTGAGGTCTCTTCATCTCTCCCTTTTCTCTTTCTTTTCCTTCGTACAAAGCCCCACCGGCAGGCACCCTGCGCTTCGTTCAGTCCGCTGCAAACTGCGATCCATCCCGTCGGGCGCAGATTGCGCATCACACTGATCCCACCAACCCGCCCATTGCCATTGCCGTCCAACCCGAGAAGGAAAAAAAAACAGTGTCGTCACCAATCAGTCTCAAACACAACACGCGCCGCAATCATGACCTGATGACCTTATCCCTGCGTCTTCCTTACCTTGGATCCAGAGGGGGCGGCAAAGGGGAAAAGGAAGCCCATTCGAGCCCGAAAGATACAAGCCTATCCAAGTGCTTTTCTCTTTCCTTTAGGTGCTTTTTGCCTTATCCGTACCGCGTCTTCGCTATCTGCGCCTGAGTCGCAGCAAGATTCGCGACTGCAGCACACAGGGCATCACACCTCTCATACCCCCTAGAGCACTACCACCAGTGAAACACCACTGAATCCCTCCAATCCAAGCTCGTCCTCCGCCTGCGCCCAACTCAAAACGTTTTCCATCTCCCCCCAAAAACGGTGGCAAGAAACCAGCGCATAAAGTAAACAAATAAACAAATAACAATAAACAACAACAACAAAACCCTCCCAAGACCCCAATCGAGACACGCTGCGCTCTGGCTCGACTTGCCCGCAAAAGCATGCGCGCTCAGTGCTCACACCGCCTCCCGTCTCTTTCCGTACCCTAACCATTTTCATGCAAAACCCAATCCGTAACTTCTTGGCCTCCGATTTTCCTTATCGTCTGCGCAAGTGTCGGCAAAAAGAAAATCGCTTGACACGATCGCAATTGCGCGCGCGCACGCACGCACGCACTCGGCGCGCCATGCACGCACTCAAACCCTGCATCGCACAATCTTACAACAGCACATCCGCCCGCAATTGATTGTCATCAAACATGCAGCAACATGAATTCTTCGCGGCGCGACAGACGGGACATCCCAAAAAAGTGCGGGGCAAGCTCCCAGAGCAAAGTGCGGGGTCAATTTTCGCAAAACACATAATGACGTAATCATCCGAAGAGGATAAGAGCTGTGCAGTACGGGTACCTCGCGCCTAAACCTAACCTCGCGCGCCGCAAGTACCGTGATGGAGCTTTTATGCTCGAGCTCTTGTACCCTCTTAGCGCGCGAATACCTAAAAGAGGCCATCCGCTCAGGGCAAGCCCGAGCTTTTTAGTCGCGCACACTGTGCGACTGTGCGCCTGTGCTCGCGTCTGGCAGGGCGGCTAGCGACCAAGGGTCCAGAGCCGGGCACATCAGCCACACCTTCCAATTTACACGCCCTCCCCTTCCCTGCCCGAGCCGGAACGGGATGCAACGGCGAGAACCGCGCGCTAGTACCCAAAGGGGTATAGCCCCGCACCTATCTTTCAACGACTTCCGTCCCGCTCTGTCCCCGCTCCGCACCGGAAGATGCAATGTCATCGCACCCGCATAATCCCTTCCGCGTTGTCGCATCACATCAGTCGCATCGCGCCGCATCGCGACAAACACCAGTTTACAGGACCAATATGTTTTTCTTTCGCTTTGGCTTTCACTACAGAAATGTTGCCACTAACAAAAACAGTCGTATCGTAGCTGCATCTTCTCCTGTTGCCCGCCTCCAAATAGCATCCAGAGAGGAACCAAAGAAACAGAAGCAAGCTCGCTCGCGCAGAGAAGCTTCATGTCCCTCGCACATATAGGAAAACACAAACCTCCAAGGCATGCGATCCGCCTTCCGCCCGGACAATTTGACCCTTGCGTGAGCCTTGGAACCGTCTCGCCCACCGTTGTAACCATCCTTGCCTTTTGTTCTCTTCCTCACTTGAAGCCTCCCATTTCCTTCCTCGCTTTGCAGTGACACCACGTACTTCCGCATCGCACGCGCGATTCGGGCGCGCATGCGCCCACAAGTATTTCAAGATACTCGCTTGCTTTTCTCGTCCTCCACCGCTCTCCACATCGTACAGTTGCACAACCTCGCCAAAACTGTAGCATCCTCGCCACATCTTGAGCTTCACCGGGAAAGACATGCAGGAAATAAAAGACAGCGCGTAAAGCCAGTTGGGAAAAAAAACAGATACGAGAAAAAAACACCGCTTTCCATTGAAAGAGACCACAAACGCCGAAAGGAGTGTGCGCGACTGGCCCTATCCGGCGGGCCCCAATGGAATTCACCAATGAGTCTCTACCGTTTTGCCAGTGCTGTTGGATGGTGATGGAAGGCCGTGATAGACATCCCACAATTGTAGCAGTGGTAGGCATGTCGTTTGACGATGCCGTCCGAGCGCCTAGACCAATTTCAAACAGTTTCGTCGCCAAACGCCTGGAAGCCAATAAACCTTCGTCGCCGCAAGAATAGTAGCCCAGAATTTTGCGACAGTGAGTTTTAAAGCAGACTCGCAAATTCCTTTCGAGTACTGCTGCGCAAGGCTGCGCTCACTCTATCAAGATCCAATTATTCTACCGCTTGCGCTTCTTGTTCTTATCGGCCACCGCCGCCGTCGTGGCAATTGGCGCAGCTGGCAGGAGAGTGGGCTGCGTTGGATTGACAATATCTTCCTTCTTAATAGGAACGCCCATATGTCGGCCATATCTGCCCTTGCGTCCATTGCCTTCGTCTTCGCTGATGCATTGGTCGGCATTGAGCCCGGCATCACGGCATCGCCCGCAAGGTCGTTGCCTGTCGCAGCCCTTCTTGCTCTTGCGGCATCGCTGGCAGCGAGGTTTGGCAGAAAGATCGAGCTGGTCATCTTCACCGGGGGCGCCCGAAGCGGCGGCGGCAGAGGCAATGGATGGCTTGCGCGACGGGGGTAGGGAGGCCGGCGACATAGGCCCGTTGCTGGCGGGAGCCGAAGCCGAAGCCGAAGCGGATGCCGGCGCAGAGGCCTTCTTGGGCTTGGGGATCGTAGGCCGAGGAACCTTGCTGACCTTGGAGGTCTTTGGCTTGGAGCCGCCGGGCAATTGAGTCTTGGGCTTCGCATCCGGAAGGTTGGTCTTGTTCTTCAGCACCTCGGGCTTGCCCTCGCCATTGACGACATGGCTGGCAGCCTTCTCGACTTGGACGTCATCACCATGAGTTTCGATACTAGGTTGGGGAATGAAGTGGCTCTCCGTGGTCTGGTAGATCTTGCGCATGACGCCAGCGGCATCTAGCTTTTGGCGCCGAGCGGCCGACTCCTCATCGCTCTCACTTTCACCGTCACTAGTGGCTCCCGTGGAAGATGCGGCGTCGGCACGGCCGCTGAAGGTGTCATCCAGCGTAGACGCGGAGGTGCGGCCATGAGAGATGTTTGACATTTC